ATGAAGGCCGGGCATGGTGGCTCACACCTGTAATCTCTGCACTTTGAGGTTCTGAGGTGGAAGGATCACTTGAGGCCAGGAGTTCAAGACAAGCCTGGACAACATAGACCCTATCTGTACAAACACACACACACACACACACGTTTATATCTAAATAAAATACATTAACTTGTAAAATTTTTGAACATGAAGGTATACAGTAAGTCAGTCTCCTCTCATACCTGATCCTTAGTCCTGCAGTTTGTTTTCAAAGATGGGGTCATTTAAGAGTTTCACAATTATTCTCCTTGAGGTAGTCTATGAATAAACCAGCATATATTATGTATTTATGCTGCAAATATGTATATATAAGCCCTCATTATTCCTTTTCATATAAATGGTGGTGTGTATTCTGTTGTATATGTAGTTTTATTTCTTGGAGAGAATTCTCTAGCAACACAGAATGTATTTAATCTGTCTCCTGTTAATGGACATTTAAGGTTGTTTCCAGGCTTGTGCTATTGAAGTCTTATGCTATCAGGAAACAGAGCAATTATCATAGGTGATCAGAGCACCAATCAAGCAGAAGTGAGAGAATTCCAAGAGGGGTGATTCAAACATAACAAATAGATCCTTTCTTCTAAAATGGCAGAAGACATCTCTGCCCACTTTGCTAGTGAAGACACAAGTATGTATACTTGTTTACGTTGCTTCACAGAGATAGTCAGGTACAACTACTTAGTAATTTACTCAAGTGGAAATTCTGGGTCGAAGTTACGTTTATAAATTTTTTTTTTTTTTTTGAGACAGAGTCTCGCTTTGTTGCCTAGGCTAGAGTGAGTGCCGTGGCGTCAGCCTAGCTCACAGCAACCTCAAACTCCTGGGCTCAAGCAATCCTGCTGCCTCAGCCTCCCAAGTAGCTGGGACTACAGGCATGTGCCACCATGCCCGGCTAATATTTTTTTCTATATATATTAGTTGGCCAATTAGTTTCTTTCTATTTATAGTAGAGACGGGGTCTCGCTCTTGCTCAGGCTGGTTTCGAACTCCTGACCTCGAGCAATCCGCCCGCCTCGGCCTCCCAGAGAGCTAGGATTACAGGCGTGAGCCACCGCGCCCGGCCACGTTTATAAATTTGATTGAAATAGGCATATTGCTCTCAAAAGCAGTAAACCAATTTACATTTCTACCAACATGGTGATTCATATATTCAAAAAATATTTATTAAATGGTATTTGTTAGGTACAATTTCAGGTAGTAGGGATATGTCAGCTATCAAAACAGTCAAAATTTCCTTCTTCCTAGAATTCTATAATTTTTGCTTGGAAACTCAAATTTTATTATTGTCAGTTGTTTTCCTTAAAATGATGGCTCACTTTGTTCTGTTTGAAGAAAGTGTCTGCCAAATAAATACCCAAGTGTGAATAACCATGATTTATAAATCAGCCATTCTTCCAAGTAAAACAATGGCCCATGAAAAATGGCTAGTTTAGCTTACAACTTGAATGATTGATTGATTTATCTTGAAGCAGCTATTGCACTTTGTTATACAATAGGAGAGGGTATACAAAGAATTAAGTTTTCATACTTTTTTTTAGCTTTTCGTGTAATTGATATTTTTACCACTTTTTTTGTTTACTATATTTCACTCAGATTCCCTTCTAATGTCCTCAGAATGGTAAACGCCCTCTCAATACTAGTTTTTTTTTTTTTTTTTTCTTGAGACAGAGTCTCGCTTTGTTGTCCAAGCTAGAGTGAGTGCCGTGGCATCAGCCTAGCTCACAGCAACCTCAAACTCCTGGGCTCAAGTGATCCTCCTGCCTCAGCCTCCCGAGTAGCTGGGACTACAGGCATGCGCCACCATGCCCAGCTAATTTTTATATATATATCAGTTGGCCATTAATTTCTTTCTATTTATAGTAGAGACGGGGTCTCGCTCTTGCTCAGGCTGGTTTTGAACTCCTGACCTTGAGCAATCCGCCCGCCTCGGCCTCCCAAGAGCTAGGATTACATTCGTGAGCCACAGCGCCCGGCCTTCAATACTAGTTTTTACATGGTCAAATGCATTAGAAAATCTTTCATTTCCCTGCCTGCGGAGATAACTACTTCTGGAACTTTTGTTCTCCTACTCTAATCTGGACTGGCTGTACTCTGACCTGATAGTCAGCTCTGATCTTGTAGTTTTTCATCACTTATTATCATGGAAATTTTTCTTTACTCTTTTCCTATGTTGCTTTCCCTCTTTCCTGGACCCTGTGCCTGTTGCCTTTTCTGTCTACTAATTTTGGTGGAGTACATCTTCCTGTAACATGAGAGAAAGGTGCATTTTGAGGTAAACTTTTTGAGCATTTGCATATCTGAAAAATGCCTTTGTCCCAGTAGATTGATAGGCTAAGTCGAGGTCAGGAGTTCAAAGCCAGCCTGGGCAAAGCGAGACCCTGTCTCTACTATAAATAGAAAGAAATTAATTGGCCAACTAATATATATAGAAAAAATTAGCCGGGTATGGTGGCGCATGCCTGTAGTCTCAGCTACTCGGGAGGCTGAGACAGAAGGATTGCTTGAGCCCAGGAGTTTGAGGTTGCTGTGAGCTAGGCTAACGCCAAGGCACTCACTCTAGCCTGGACAACAAAGCGAGACTCTGTCTCAAAAAAAAAAATAAAATAAAATAAATATTTATAGTAGAGACAGGGTCTCACTCTTGCTCAGGCTGGTTTTGAACTCCTGACCTCGAGCAATCCGCCCGCTTCGGCCTCCCAGAGTGCTAGGATTACAGGTGTGAGCCACTGCGCCCAGCCTTTAGTTTTTCTTTTCTGGAACTTTTACTCAGCTATTTTATTTTCTTGGTTTATCTCTGATTTTGTCATAAAGCTACCAGAGAATGATGCTTGTCACTTGTGATCATATTTCATTGGCCAAACAAGTATCTAGCCGTGTCAAAGTTTGCAATCTTTATAAAATAAGGAAACCTTGTTATTGATCAATAATACGCTATGCCTCATCTTCCCTTTTTTCTCCTTCTCTCTCAGGTTTTAATTTCTAAAAGAACATTTTCTTTGTTTCTTGCTTACAAAACTCTGTTACCATTTCAGTGATAAAACATATTCTCATAACTGTCCATGATTGGTTTTAGGGTTTTGTTGTTGTTTGCTGGACCTTGTCTTTATTGCCTCAGAGCTTCTTTTTTCTCTTTATTTTCATCTTTCATGTTAGTGGGTTTCTTCAAATGTGTAGGGAATATTTGCTATAAAATCAGATATAACAGTGACTCACTAAAAGGTGACCATAACCTCTTTTGTGCCTGGGTGCTTCTAGTTATCTGGTAGGCTTCAGTGGATGAAAAGTAAAATGCCTAATGAACCACTGGTCTTCTCCCTGAGGAAGGATTATACTACCTTACTCTAGTCAACTCAGCCATGGCCAACTCCTTTGTTTTGGCCAATGAAATGTGAACACACATGCCAGATATCATTTTGGTGGGGCGCATCCTAATGAGGTTTATCACAGGCTTTTCAGTTTCTCCAGAGAAGAATCCTCTCATATCCTGCTCATAGGTATATTTACCTGGTTGTCAGCAGTTTTTGGCCTCAGCTGCAGAATGGTGCTGGGGATCTCATCATATTATATGTAGATTTAATCCCATTGATTTTCGGTATAGTACCTCATTCCTGTCATCTCAATTTTCTGGGTGTTTCTGAGCTCTGATTAAATTTCTGAAAAGAATACACTACAATTTCGTACGGAGTAGTAGTCCTTTGTTCTCATGACTGGATTGGTGCAGATCCAACTGCTGCTTTTTTTTTTTTTTTCTCATTTTTTTTTAAATTTATTTTTTATTTTTATTTATTTATTTTTTTGAGACAGGGTCTCACTTTGTTGCCCAGGCTAGAGTGAATGCCGTGGCATCAGCCTAGCTCACAGCAACCTTAAACTCCTGGGCTCAAGCAATCCTCCTGCCTCAGCCTCCCCAGTAGCTGGGACTACAAGCATGCGCCACCATGCCTGGCTAATTTTTTCTATATATATTAGTTGGCCAATTAATTTCTTTCTATTTTTATAGTAGAGACGGGGTCTCGCTCTTGTTCAGGCTGGTTTCAAACTCCTGACCTTGAGCAATCCACCCATCTCAGCCTCCCAGAGTGCTAGGATTACAGCCAACTGCTTCTTATGCTATGTCTTTTTTTCAGCCACGATGCCTTACTCATTTTTTGAAAATACTTGGTTTCCTTTATTTCCTGAGTCTTTCTGATACTTTGTGGCATAAATTGGCTTGCTTAACACTGGCATCCTTATCTGCGGTACTTGTAGGTTATTTTAACTTTCTCAACTAACTGCTGTGCATTGAAAAGCTTTCATGTGTTTTCCATTGTTGAACAGTTTGTTAATGTTTGTTGTGGACCAGTGTCTCCTATGTATTCTTTCATCCTATTGAATTTGTACCATTTTCCTTTTTCTTGTCATTTTAATGGCATTTTTGGAGGCAGCAGTTATTAGTTGATCTTTTCCCTTTCTTAGAGATACTAGTGTTATTTCCCTTTCTTAGACTCCCTGGTGGACTTTAACATTTTTATGTGGTCCTCTTTTTATCCTGTTTGGCAATTCCTTATTGTTAGGCAATTTGCTGAATTCTGAAATGAAAAGGTTATTTTTCTAGAGTAATTCAAGGTTTGTGGACCCATGAGTGTTAATTTTCTTCCTAAATAACCTCCACAAGGCAAGGGTTCCTGTCCCAAAATTTAGTTGGAGACATTGATCATATTGATGTTTTTCATGCTGGATTATGGGCTGCCTGAGTTAATCCCAAGAAAGCACAATCTAAAACTTTCTTACTAGTAACGTAACAGGACAATTCACAAATAATAGTGATGATAGCATAAAGGTACTATTTATTGAGTGCTTCACATGTGCCAGCCACAGTTCTGAACACTATACATTAATTCCTTTAAATGTTGATTCTTTGTACTCCATTTTAGAAGAAGCCTGAGAAGAAGAGCAGATAGAGAGCAACAAGATTTGGGAGGCAAGTTGCATCCATCTCCAATAAAGTACAGACTGAGAAAAAAACAGTGAATATAAGAAAATTGGAAACGTACTTCTGATCTCAGACCTTGTATGTATCTTTTAAGGTAACACCTTTATGAGTTTGAAAGACATTTAGACTTAATCATGAGAGAAGTTGTGTAGAAGCATCAATTTAGTTTGGAAATCCTCTACCACAGCTTCTTATTTATGGTATTAACTCCCTTTAAGTGGAAATGCCTTTAGTTTAAGAAGTTTGTACCCCATCTTATACCAGAGCATTCATATTGGAGAGAAATCCTATGAATTTATTGAATGTGGGGAAGTTTTCACTCCCATGTCACATCTCATTGAATGTAGAAGTCATGCTGAAAAGAAATACTGTGCTTCTAAGGAATATTGAAAAGCCTTTAGCTAGATGACAAATCTCATTGAGCAGCAGAAAATTCATGCTGGAGAGAAATCAGTCAATGCAGTAATACATCATTGAATATTAAAAAATTTGTATTGGAGAGAAAGCTTTGAATATACTGAGTATGATAAATTTTTTTTCTCAAACCTTATCCCTTACTTTGCATTTGAAGGCCATACACAGAGAAGCCTTATAAATGTAAGAAATGTGGAAATATCATCAGCCAAAAGTAAATTCTAATTCATCAAAAAATTTATACTGCAGAGAAACCTTGTGAATGTGGGAAAGCTTCCATTCAGATGTCACACCTCAGTCAGCAGAAAATTTATAGTGGGGAAAACCCCTTTGCCTGCAAGGTATGTGGGAAAGCCTTCAGCCACAAATCAAATCTCACTGAACATGAGCATTTTCATAATAGAGAAAAACCTTTTGAATGTAATGAATGTGGAAAAGCCTTTAGCCAAAAGCAGTATGTCATTAAACATCAGAACACCCATACTGGAGAAAAGCTTTTTGAATGTAATGAATGTGGAAAGTCCTTCAGCCAGAAGGAAAACCTCCTTACCCATCAGAAAATTCACACTGGAGAGAAACCTTTTGAGTGTAAAGATTGTGGGAAGGCTTTCATTCAGAAGTCAAACCTCATCCGACATCAGCGAACTCACACAGGAGAGAAGCCCTTTGTATGTAAGGAGTGTGGAAAAACCTTTAGTGGCAAATCAAACCTTACTGAGCATGAGAAAATCCATATTGGCGAGAAACCCTTTAAATGTAGTGAATGTGGAACAGCTTTTGGCCAGAAGAAGTACCTCATAAAACATCAAAACATTCACACTGGAGAGAAACCCTATGAATGTAATGAATGTGGAAAAGCCTTCTCTCAACGAACATCACTCATTGTACATGTGAGAATTCATTCAGGTGATAAACCATATGAATGCAATGTATGTGGAAAAGCTTTCTCTCAGAGTTCATCTCTTACTGTCCATGTGAGAAGCCATACAGGTGAGAAACCCTATGGATGTAATGAATGTGGGAAAGCTTTCTCTCAATTCTCAACCCTTGCTCTGCATTTGAGAATACACACAGGTAAGAAGCCTTATCAATGTAGTGAATGTGGGAAAGCTTTCAGCCAGAAGTCACACCACATTAGACACCAGAAAATCCATACTCATTAAAAGCCCTGTGAATACCTTGAAAATGGCGACGTTTTCATTAGGAATTTACACATCATACTGTATCAGAAATAATCATTCTGGAACAGAGCACCATAAATGAGTTAAACCAACAAATACTAAAAACTTATGGGATATCAGAAAATTTGTACTGAAGAGAAAGTCATTTGTATGATAAAAAGCCTACAGAAAAACTTATAGCAAAGGTAATGCTGAAACTTTAGACATATTTCCACTGCAATGGAAATGGAGAACATGACTGTTACCATTGCTCTCGTCATAGATCTAGAGATCTTCACCAGTGTAATAAAGAAAACATATTGTAAGTATTGAAAATGAAGAGACAAAAATAAATGATAGGATCAACTACAAATGTAAATTATTATAAGACTCTTGTGGTATTGATTCAACAGAGCAGAAGAGATTCTAGAAAGAGATCTATGCATTTCTTAGAATTTAGAATATGATAGAAATAGCATCAGGTGAGGAATAATGGGACTATTTTAAAAAATGATTTGGAGATAATTTGTTCTCCAAGGGGGAAAAAATAGACTATGAACTATAAACAAAAATAAAACCTACAGAGACTAAAAACAATAATATGAAAAAGCTATATTCTGATATGGTTATGACCTTGGGAAGTAGGGAAACATTCCTTGTAACAACTTCAAAGATACTTATTAATTCTACTTTTGAGTATATATGCTCAGGAAATAACGTACCAGGATATTACCTATGGCTTGATTTATCGTATACAAAAATTGGATACAACTTGAATGCCCATCAGGAACAAAATGGAAAATACTTATGATGGAATACTGTATATCTGTCAAATGCAACAAATGAGATCCACGTGTATTAACAGATCTCAAAAATCTTGTTGACGGGGAATCAAGTTGCAACATGATGCATATAGTACAATGACTTTGTAAATTTTAATTAGAACTTCCCTCACAAAATTCAGTACTGTATACTGGTAATGGTTACATATATGTATGTAAATGTTTTGAAATGGATTGGAAGGATACAGACCCAACTCTTGATAGTGGTCACCTGTGAAGAGTGGAGAAGGGAAGGGAATCAGTGTGGGAGGTGGGGTGGGGATTGGTTAAAGGGGACTTCAGCTTTTTATATAAACATCCATTTCTCTTTAAAAAGACTGTAAGTAAATATAAAGATACTAGTTAATTCTGGATTGTGGTATATGGATATCTTGTCTTATTTTTTGTACTTTTCTGTATTTTTAAAATTTCTCAATAAGAATGGGGAAGAGGATGGGAATGCTTTACCTGTAGAAATCACATTATAATGGATTCATTCCCAAATACTAAACTTTTTATAGAAAATATTTCTAAAATTTTATCAACAATGAATGGATGGACTTGCTCTCTATGTAATATGAAATTATCTATTTTATTAAAATTAAAAATGACAGCATACTCCAAATCTGTCTTAATTTATTTTAACATGGTGTATATGATCTTAAAATTTCTATCATTTTGGAACATATCATTTGAACTTAGAAATTTTTAAGAACTTTTTGTTAAAGATACATGCACAGGCTTCATATAATTTGTATTCCTCATTTAGACTGATTTATAATGTCAGTTTTCCTGTCCTATAAATTTCCATTGGAATTATACACATTAAAAGTTGTTTCTGATAATTTCATTCTCACAAAGAAAACCATTCAACTTTCCAGAACGTCTACAATTCAGTGATTTAGATGCCAATACTTGGATCTCAACATATATATATATTTTTTGAGACAGAGTCTTACTTTGTTCCGAAGCTAGAGTGAGTGTTGTGGCGTCAGCCAGATCATAGCAACCTCAAAGTCCTGGGCTCAAGCAGTCCTCCTGCCTCAACCTCCCGAATAGCTGGGACTATAGGCATTCGCCACCATGCCCGGCTAATTGTTTGTATATATTTTTTTTAGTTTGCCAATTAATTTCTTTCTATTTATAGTAGAGACAGGGTCTTGCTCTTGCTCAGGCTGGCTTTGAACTCCTGACCTCGACTAATCTGCCTACCTCGGCCTCCAGAGTGCTAGGATTACAGGTGTGCGCCACCGTGCCTGGCCTGGTCTCAGGTTTAACCTGTAGGTTATTTTATTCCTCCCACTGCTTTGGCAGACATAACCTTTTTGTTTCTTTTACAGAGTGGAGAGAAGATGGGATGGGGATGAGAAAAGTAGCTCAGACCCTGGCCGGGCGCTGTGGCTCACGCCTGTAATCCTAGCTCTTGGGAGGCCGAGGCGGGCGGATTGCTCAAGGTCAGGAGTTCAAAGCCAGCCTGAGCAAGAGCGAGACCCCGTCTCTACTATAAATAGAAAGAAATTAATTGGCCAACTGATATATATATATATAAAAAAAAATTAGCCGGGCATGGTGGCACATGCCTGTAGTCCCAGCTACTCGGGAGGCTGAGGCAGAAGGATCACTCGAGCCCAGGAGTTTGAGGTTGCTGTGAGCTAGGCTGACGCCACGGCACTCTAGCCTGGGCAACAAAGTGAGACTCTGTCTCAAAAAAAAAAAAAAAAAAAAAAAAGTAGCTCAGACCCTGGATAGAATTCTATTTCATAAACCAATCTTTCCTGAAGATATATTTTTTTTATTTTTTTTTCTGAAGATATTTTTTATTTCATCCTTCATCACAGTATTAGTTGATATAAAGAATGTTATGAAAGGTTTTCTTGGATAATGGTGAACATCAACAATATACAGTATTCGAGGTTGATTTCAAAACCTTTTAGAAAGAACTCAGACTCATTAGTTAAATACCACAGTTGCACTGTGTATTTTTTATTAGCCTTTTTGGAGGAATGATCATTAATTCTGCACTTAAACATCTAAATGAATCCTTTCTAACATGAAGTCCCCTGCCCCTTTGCTTTCCCTGTTTGACTATGTCTATAGCTCATAGTTAAAGGTGTATTCTTTAGGGGGAAGGAATGGCAGCGGCAATATATGTAACCCTAACAGTATTTGTACCCCCATAATATGATAAAAGGGGGAAAAAAAGTATATAATATGGCCCACTGTATCCATGGGTTCTGCATCCATTAATTCAACCAACCATGGGTTGAAAATACTCAAAAGTTAAAAAATAACATAACTATTTGCATAGCATTTACATTGTATTAGGTATCTTATGTAATCTAGAGATGATCCAAAGTGTATGGGAGAATGTGCATAGGTTGTATGTAAATGCTGTGTCATTTTATATAGGGAACTTGAGTATCCGCAGGGGATCTTGGATATTGAGGAATGATGGTGGTATGAATATAAGCTGTTTTTTACCAAAAGCCTGGCTATGGAATGTTGCTATTACAGATGAGTAGGAAAGTTAAACACAATTTTGTCATACAAGGCAATGATAACAACTTGGTATTTATTTCACTGTACTTCCCCGGTGCCCTGCCTATAGACCAATAAAATGAAATAACTTTACTCAGGAACTGTAATTAGCACAGAATAGATACAGCAGGGACCAAATCAGTCAATCTTAACAACAGCTCAACAGGCCTGGAGCCATGGCTCACGCATGTAATACTAGCACTCTGGGAGGCCGAGGTGGGTGGATTGCTCAAGGTCAGGAGTTAAAAACCAGCCTGAGCAAGAGCGAGACCCCGTCTCTACTATAAATAGAAAGAAATTAATTGGCCAACTAAAAAAATATATACAAAAAGTTAGCCAGGCATGGTGGCGCATGCCTGTAGTCCCAGCTACTCTGGAGGCTGAGGCAGGAGGATCGCTTGAGCCTAGGAGTTTGAGGTTGCTGTGAGCTAGGCTGATACCACAGCACTCACTCTAGCCTGGACAACAAAGCGAGACTCTGGCTCAAAAAAAAAAAAAAGAATAGCTCAACAAATTTTCATAGAACTGAGAAAAAGGACAGATTGAAATTATGAAAGGAAAAAGTACAAAGTAGATGCAGAATATCCTCTATATGTGCAATAGACATTTAAAGGGGTAAGAAAACAGATGCATAAGATGGAAATAATAGTTTAAAAATAACAGAAGGACTTAACTTCAGGGATGATTAAATATACATACTTTTTGCGTTTCTCCTAAGTAAAAACCCTGGATGTTTACTGAAACTAAACACAAGACTCTTGAAGGTAGAGGAAAAAAAGAAAAACACAGTAAGGACCATGGGACCTAAGGAATAACACAGCAGTGCATAACGTGGGTTTTTTTTTTTTTTTTTGCCTCATATATACCAGATGTGGATCTGGAGAAGCTGGCAACCCTGAAATGCCATTGAGTGCAGGAAAAGACAAAACAAAAAAACAAAACATGCTTTCTTTAGCCAAAGAACGAGGAAAGGGGAAGCCTGGTAAGATAAAACATTTAGACGGAAATTGTTCTATTCCATCCAAACACAACAGAAAAAACTGGCCCCATTCATACCCTTAGCAAAGGCTAAGCCACTTCACCTGGCCTATTATTTCTTAAAATATTTTTTTCTGCATTAATATCGCTCTTCTCTACTACTAGAACTCCAGAGACACTAGAACTTCAGATAATTTGATACTGTCCCAGAAATTGCTGAAGGTCTATTCATTTTTTAAAATCTTTTTCTTGCTGTTCTTCAAATTGGATAAGACACGTTTCTGTTATCTCCGTTCTGCTAATGAGCCCATCTTAACACATTTAAAATCCCAGATCTTGTATTTTTCAATTTTAAAGTTTCCATTTCATGACTAGCCTTTACAAGTTTCCATTTCGATCTTTTTATAGTTTCTATGTCTCTTTTAAAAATTCTATATTTCCATTCATTGAAAAGTGTTCATGTTTACTTTATGTAGCATAGTGATCATAGATGCCTTAAGTCTTTGTCTAATAATGTCAACATCTGAGTCATCTTGACTTTAGCATCTGTTAATTTTATTTCCCCTGATAATTGATCACATTTTCCTGGTTCTTTGTATATCAAATAATTTTGGATTGCATCTTGGGCATTTTCTGTCTAGGATTGGAGTCAGCTATTTCTCCCAAGAAATCCTGGTTTCTTTTTGTAGGAAATGGTCTATCAATATCATAATCTTTGTGTTAATGATACATATTGCTGCTAGACTGGTAACAGTAACACTCCCAATTAAAATTCAGAACTATAGGGTATTTACTTAGTTTTTATATATTTGACATGTATCCATTTAGAATCCTTGTTCTCAATAACCTCAATTAGGATTCTTCTGATGTTTCATCATTTTAGATACAAGTTTTACATTTTCAGCAGAAATACCATTTATAAATGACATTGCATCCTCATGTATTACAGTAGGAAGCACATGTCTATTCTTAGTGATGATGTCTTTAATTTTGTTTTTGAGACAGGTCTTGCTCTGTTGCCGGGTTAGAGTGTAGTGGTGTCGTTGTAGCTCACTGCAACCTCAAACTCTTGGACTCAAGCAATCTCCTGCCTCAGCCTCTCCAGTTGCTGACACTATAGTCATGTGCCCCATGCTGAGCTAATTTTTCTATCTTTAGTAGAAGATGGGGTCTGGCTCTTGCTCAGGCTGGTCTTGAACTCCTGACCTCAAGTGATCCACCTTGGCCTCTCAGAGCACTAGGATTACAGGTATGAGCCTCTGCACCCAGCCTTTAATAATTTTGAAAGTTACTGTCAGGTTTCTCCAAAGCAAAATTATCATTTTTCTTTTGTAATAAATAATTTCTGAGGTTAATCCTTTGAGACTATGTAAATATCCCCTAGTTTCAGCATCTACTGATGATTGTTGTCTGAATCAATTGTTACCACAATGTTTACAAAAGGGGGATTTCCTAATTCCATCATTGTTTTTATATTCTGCTATAAGGAAAGCACCCTCTCCAATCTCAATTACCTATTTATCTGTCACTTTATTTCATATGGATTCACAAACTCCTTTGTAAAGATTAAATGGATTATATTACTGTCATTTTGATGCTCAGTATGTTCCCGAGATTTTGAGACTTGGACAATTCAGATGCACTACTTTATCTTTTTGATAAATGTCCATCATTTTTGAGCCCATCCTTACTTTCTAGATCAACAAGATGTTTCGGTTCCATCTTGTACTGTTTCTAACTCAGCCATGAAATTAGCCACTTCTTCAAGGAGGCTTTGTGTTGAAAAGCAAGATCTGGGTGCTGGTGAGCTCACTGCTACTACTGTGATATTGCTTCTAGGCCTTTATAGTGGACAGACCTTGGAAATATACACTCACATTTTATTATATTTCCAAATTAAGATAATGACATCATCCTGATGTGTCCAATTCCAATCTTACCTAACAACTTTCTTCTTTACCTATTTTCCCATTTTGTATCTGTACTTCCCTTCTTTAAATCTCAGAAACCTAGCTCCTGACTTTATCAACATATTTAATCCTACTACGCAGACAGTAATTTCAAAAGTGATACACCCACACCACTGTAACAAAGAAACATATTCTGATT